CCCCAAAACCCCAAAACCCCAAAACCCCAAAACCCCTTTTACTTAATTTTTAATTGATAGGTTATATATAATATGGATCCCTCTCAATCTTTTGAGGAAAGCAAGATTATGGAGAAATACTCCGGACTTGACGAGAGTCTAAGATTCGTCCAATCCTTAGTGTCTAATTCAAAGCAGAAGGGGGAGGAAGAGCCTCTACAAGAAAGCTTTGACTCTCAGCAATTCCAACAGACTTCTCAAAATTACGATCAAGATATGCAACCTGAGGCTAACGAAGCGAATGAGCAAATCATGGAAGATGTGGAAGAGCCAGAAAATGCTGATCTCTCTATCCACTCCATTCTTCACTCCGAAGATGATAAGTTAAACGTTGAAGCCAGACTTTACAAAATCAACGATGTTTATAGACAAAGGAGGGAAGCCAAATTACAAGCAGTAAAAGCTGAAGAAGAGCAGAAGAAGAAATCTTCAAAGCCAATGATCAACAAGAAATCTTTAAAAATGACCAAGGGCCGTGAAGAACAAAGGATCCCTGTGGAGGAAAGACTGCTAAATTATGCAAAGAAAAAGAAAGCTCTTGAACCTGATGAGAAGAGTCACCCAGATGTTTCCCAAGTTTCTCAGCAGAAAAAGAAAAAGGCTGTAAATTATGAAGTTGTCACTAGACTTCATGACTATGGAAGACTTTATAAGGTCAAACAAGCTGAGAAAGAGGCTCAATTTAAGAAATCTCAGACCTTCAAGCCTAACATCGAGAAGAGCAACACTCTTGCTCATATACAGTCTAAATATAAAAATTCTTCAAAGCAGCCTGTTCAAAGAAATGATGATAATGAGTTGTTGAAGTACACTACTGATAATTCTGAAGAGGTTAAGCATTCTTTCTCAATGCAGGTGGAGTCTCATCCGGAAGACAGACTATATTCTCCAATGCCAATAAAGGCTCCGTCAAAGAAAATTCTAAAGATTCAGGACGAGTATGATAGGAATCATCCGTTCCATCCAAAAATTGACGCGCTCTCTAGAGCAATCGTTCAGCACAAGCGTGAAATAATTCCTGAGGAAGATCAGTTCCAGAAGAGGAACAAGGGATTTGAAGAGTACAACTTTACTCCTAATCTTGACAAGAACTCGGAAGAGATCATACGTCTAATGAGGGAAGGAGATGATTATGACCAAGCTGATCGCTGGAAGTCCCTCTACCAGAAAGGTGTCGCCAAGCAGGTTCGCAGGAAGGAAATCGAAGAAAGAGCTAAAGAAGAAAAGGAAATTGAGGAGCTGAGAAGCCATCCCTTCACACCTGAGATTCACTACTATGAGAGCACCTTTGAAGGAGAGAGGCCAAGAGAGAAGAGAATTCGAGAATTAGCCTCAATGAGATACCAAGAATACTTTGATAAGAAAGAGATTAAAGAGATCGAAGAATGCACCTTTAAGCCAAGACTCATCGCTGAGGAGAAGCTTAGGGAAAATAACATGACAACTACTGATCTTTCTCAACACCCAGAAAACTATATCAATAGTCAAAGTTTAGAAAGTTACTACAAGAGAATGCAAGAGGCTCATTATAGAAGGAAAGAGATGGAGGATTATGAAGACAACTTCTGTGGTTCAGGTAAGAACTGGGAAAACAAGCTCACTTTGCCCACCATCCCTGACTTCCATGAGAAATTTGCTGATACAAAGAGACCTGAATCTCTTGAGCAAGTTAGATGCATTACTAAGCCTGTTGTCAGAAATGGAGAGGTAGTAAAAGACCCATTTATCCAGATCAGTAGGCATGACACTTACAAGAAATCTAGTCTTACATCCAAGCTAAGGGAGGAGCAAGAAGCTGGATTTAATGATATCAGGAACAAAAATGAGAGAATTAGGGAGCCCCTCTTCGAAGAAAATGTAGATTTTGAGGATTGAGTAGACTTTTTGCATGGCCAAATAGGCGAATTAGAAATATAAATTGATCCCAAATTACTTTCAGTAGTCTCTGTTTTAATTGGGGTTTTGGGGTTTTGGGGTTTTGGGGTTTTGGGGTTTTGGGGTTTTGGGG